GGTGATGCTGTCGTCCTCGTTGCAAAGCACACGGCGTCCACCGTGCACGCACCACAGTTCCAGCACCGTCACGGGCGTCCCAATATTCACGTCGTACTGGTATTCGTCACAGGTGAGCCCCTTGCCTCGTTGCACATGCCGTAGATGGTCGGGCGCGTGTCGGATGGTGGTGACCACTTGGTTGTCATATTTGCGATGGTCGACGAATAGGAGCCGTACGTGAGGTTGTTGTCAAGTATCGACCACACACTCTGATCGCGGAACACCATGCCGTGGTGGGCGGCCACGTACACAACGTAGGCGGTGCGGAACTCGTTGTTGCGGTGCACCAGCCAGCTGCCGCCAGTCACGGTCAGCGTGGCTGCCATCAGCATGGCGAGGCCGAGACGGAAAGTGCTGGACACAACCTGCATTACGCTGCCGCCATCCACCACAACATCCTTGAACACACACGCGCCTTTGTCGTATTCGGTGCTCGGTGCAATCCACGAGCTGTTCTGTATGGAGAACACGGAGCCGCTAACAACACGCAGGTCCGACGCAAGAGCGTACATCACGTGCTTCCGCGACCTAATAACGCAGTTGTCCATGTAGAAGACGCTGGACAGGTTCACGCCGAGGCCGCGCTCCACGAGGATCGCAGCGCACGAGCCCCCGCCACACACCAGCGTCGACCGCGTCATGACAAAACACGTCGACAGAAGCCGGACGCCGTCCAGGACAAGCGCGGGGCCGTACCGAAACCCTTCATAGCCAGGAGTCGTCGGCACGTACTGCGACCCACCAACCGTCGCACGCAGCGTTGAGTTCGCCAGCAGCACACTCGAGTGCAGCGGCATCGCGCCATGCAGCACAATCGTGCCCTCCACCGACGTCACATTCGTCATGTTGACGAAAGCGTGCGGCATCAGGTGCGCCGTGCTCTCGCTGAGGCCGCCAATCCGCAGCTGCGCGCCGCCCGCAAGCACGCAGTGGCGCAGCGTCACGTTCAGTGCGTCAGCGAACGCGTCCATCGAGCGCAGGTCCACCGCCACAGTGATCGGTCCGCTGAACACCACCGAGTCGAAGCACGCCGTCGCACGCCCGCCGCCAACCGTCACCGACTCCGTCAGCGTCACGCCACTCACGCAGCCCTGCGCACCGTCACCACCGCCGCCGGTCCTCGCAGGCGGCACGTAGAACGGCAGGCACGCCTCGCCCACGCCGCCGGCGCGGCAGCTGCACACGCAGTCGGAGAACGACGCCGTCAGCGCATCAAAGCACGCCAACGCAGCCGCACAGCCGTCGCACGGCACCACGCTCACGGAGGGCAGGCCGGCCAAGCGGTAGTCGCCGCTGCTCTGCAGCACCCGGCCGCCGGCACGGTTGCACTGCACCGACACGACGCCGCTCGTGATCGTCGGCCCGGAGACAAGCGTCGCGCCGGTGGCAGCGCAGCGAGCAATCGACACGGTGCCGCCGCTCAGCATCACATCCGACAGCGACGCCACCGACGACGCCTCGCCCACCGCCCACACGTCGCGCAGCTCCAGCCACCCGCCGGCACCGATCGTCCCACCGTCGCAGCGCACCAGCAACGACGCAACAGACCCCTCGACGCCCACGAAGCGCAGCACCGAATCAAACACCGCGAGGCGCTCTCCGAGCACAATGCCGCCGCCGCTGCTCACAACCGACACGTCCGTCACGGAGAACACCGAGTGGCTCCGCAAACTGAGACGCGACGAGGACGCCACATGCATCGCGGACGCGGTAGGACCGCCCGACGCCTCCAGCGACACGCCGTCAAGCACCACCGCGCCCGACAGCAGGTCCACGCCGCCGCCAACGTACACCGCCGACCCGCCCGCCTGCAACGACCTCAGCACAGTGTTGCTCACACGCAGCTGCGACTGCAACAGCGACGTCGCGTGCAGCACAAGCGGCGACGCCACCGCGTCCGTCAGCCCGCTCAGCTGCGAGTAGCGCATCGGTCCCGCCGTCACAATCGTCGAGTCGCGGACCGTCACGTTCGTGTGTGCCGGCAGGTTGTGCACAAACACAAGCGAGCAGTAGCTCCCGGAACAGCCGCTCACGCTCAACTCCAGGGCTCCGGTCACTCGCCGGGCTCGCGCTGTAGCCCCGCACGTAGATCTGCGC